TGGAGGGAGTGGACAAGGAGGCCTTCATTGCCAACCACTCCCTTTTGATTTCTTCTCGTTGTGCTTGAAGGGTGGTTGATGAAGTTGTGGCTCTCTTCCACCTTTCCCACTCGGCTTTGAGTTCTTCGACTTGGTCTTGAAGGCGCCATTCAAGATGAGGGGCTCCCCTTTTGTCAAGATGAGGACCCAAGGGCTTCTTTGAAGGCACCATTCAAGATGTCTCGGACTTCATTGATGAACACATTCAAGCGACTTTTCATTTCCATATTTTCAATGGCTTCAGCGTTGAGGTTGATTTCTTCCACTCAATCACGAGTTTCACCCACTGTAGCCTCACACCGAAGGATGCAAGTGTCAAAGGCTGCAAGATTGTCTACTGATTTATCGCGCTTGCTAGTTCTAGTTGCTCGGCCCTTTGGGGCTTTGTCCTTGAGAGTATCATCATCTAGTGCATCACCAACTTCATGGGACAGGGAGAGTCCATGCTTGACCTCCTCTACAACACCCATGTTATGCTTCATGGTGTTGCTTGTGTCGAAGGTTCAGTGGTGTTGATGAGCTCCGGCTCTAATACTAACTATCATGGGGATAGTAGTTGAGGCCCCGTACAACGCTTGATTGAGTCAAGAAAATTTATGAAATAAAAAAACAAGCAACAAAGGTAACAATAATGACACACAAATTAGTCAAAAGACACCTTGTATTGCAATAAAGATGACAAGCACAAGCACAAATTAGCGAAAAGATACTTTTGGGGGAGTGACAAAGAAAACATCACAAGTATTAAAAATTCATACTGACAATTACAATGTTGCCATTACAACCCTCCACACACAAAATAGATATATAACCCACCCAAGACACATAAAAGAATACTTGGTTGGCATGCTTGCTGGGTTAAAGGCTTCAATTGTGACAATGAGGAGCAGATTTGGACTCATGTTTGATTGGGTAGATCTAACTTCAGATGCTCGTACCTCCCTTTTCATAGGGTCATTGTGCAAAGGGTAAGGGTGCTGGGTGGCATTTCCACTTTTGGTTGTTTTAGGTGATGCAATGATGCTTTGTGGCAATTGCTACATTTTCAAGGACCAATTGGGTGCAATTCCCACTTGGGTTGTTTTAGGTGATGCAGTGATGCTTTGTGGCACTTGAAGGACCAATTGGATGGGGTTAGGAATGGAGCCGAATTCGTGAAATAAAAGTGGGGACCCCCATGTTCGGATTTCAAAAACAAGTGGGACCTATAGTAAATTTTATTTCCCCGGGTATCACTTACCTGGGTAAGTGGTTCCCTCTTTAGACTTGGGTAAGTTGATTTCCCGAGTTGAAGGTAAATACAATAAACATGAAAATGTCAAAGTTGCCCCCAAAACATAAGGCTTCGCCTGTTTGAGAGTTTCTCCACTTCTATTGTTTCATCATTTTCATCGTTCTTGCCACCCCTAATCCTCTTACTTGCCACTGCCACTGCGTTAGTCACCGCCGGTTGCTCATTTTCTTTCCTGGTAAGAATCGTTTTTTCTACTCTGATGTTCCTTTGTGATGCACAAATGCATCTTATTTTTTTCTCTCTTTTTCAATGTTTGCTCTGGTCTCCTGAAATCTCTCTCTCTCTCTCTCTCTCTCTCTCTCTCTCATAGGAGATTTATTTAAGTAGTTTCTTGCATATATCCATCTCTCGTATCTACGATACTGGAATCAGTAACTGTTCCTCGTCCTGGATTTCGTACGACCCTATTGTCGCCACCGCAACTTCTTCAATTAATGCTTGAACATCTGGTAAATCTATAGCCTACCAAAATTTAAGGGCTTGAGGATTCAATTGCATCCTCTGAGGTGCACATCTACGTTGGTAAGCTTGAGGAACGTGTGAATTTCTGGACAAGGAGGAAGGATTGTCTATGAGGCTCAAGATACAACTCTCGAAGGTTATATATTTGTCTTTTGTATGATCTAGATCGTTAACTTGAGGGATATAAACAATTTCATTTGTCTCTTCTGTAAATGATTGTTGAAGATCCATTTCCATTATAGAGAAATAATTTCATGCTATTTCTTGGGTTTTTCAAATGAAGCTAATGCTCTTTTTCTTTACTTTTTCGGTGGGGTAGGGAGGAATACTGGAAATTTGAACCATTTCTTAATATTCATGAACCATTGTTTAATAGCTTGTTTGAGTACTTGAAAGTGCATGAAGTTGACTCTTTGTTCAGATAGCTTGATTGGATGGTAAAAGAACTCAAGTAATTTGGCACATCAAATAAACATTGAAACAATTAATCACAGCACAATAATCAAAATGAAACATTAGCCATTTAACCTTAAACAACACAATGTATTTGGTTTAGCTTATTGGCCCTCTTTTATAGAGCACAATCTAAAATGAGACTTGACTATTTACTACATTACCAAAGTATTCTATAGAAATGTGTCATTTATTGCAATTTAGAATATTTATCTGGTTCTTGGTTTTGTCATCATGTCTGCATTTTCAGGTTTGAGGCATATTTGATTTTCATGTTTACTAGTTTCTTTTTCTTGCTCCGGTTTGATTGGTTTGAAGAAAAAACAACAATAGAGAAGAGGTCGATGAGAAATTATTTACACATTGATCCTAAAAGAGTGGGATTAGCATACTAGTCAGTATGAAGGTGTTGAACACTTTGTCAAGTTATGGCATTGGAAGTTTTTCATCTCTTGTTACTTATAAATGATATAAGTAAACTATATATCACAAATAGAAAACTTGTTGAAGTGTATTGAGTATATATAATGCAGAAATACTAGTGGAATTAAGGGCAAAAAGCTGAGGAACTAGGATTTTCTCATGGTTGATGTGCACACACACCCTGCTTTCTAAAGTGATGTGCAATTTCTTTCAAAAAATAAAACATAAGTTCAGGGGAAAAGTAAAAAATTGTGAAGAAGCAAATAGGCATATATACACAAAGGCATGTCAAGCAAGAAAATAGAGGGAAAATAGATGAATAGCTAAGGAAAAGATATGGATATTCATGAGATTATGAGGAATAGCTTAAATAAGATAAGTAGCAGCAATCCTTGAGGTTTCCTATGAATATTGCATTCCAAACTACTACACTTGTTCCCTCTTCATTGCAGTTCCATGCTAATGTATCTCTATTCTCTGTAGCAATGAAAAGAGATGGATACAGCTCAATAGGAGGTTTTTCAACAGACCATGGATCTCTTCATAAAGACAACTTGCAGACATCCCCCACTTTATATATATGCCCAATTATGAAAGAGGTATGGGATTGATCAATCCAATCCTTTACTATGCACCCACTCCAACTCAAAATTTCTTGTTCTATACTTAGTTGCAATGGTTGATCTCCACAGTATGTTGCTTCATTAAACCGCTATCATTTTTTAGGTGGTTGGAGTGGGGAGATGGGAGCTAATATTATTATTCTAGTCCTTTAGATGGTWCTTGAACTCACCATTTCACCWTCTCYATGAGAATACCTCTTTATGTTTGCTAGAGGGTTAAAGGCAGAGGGGCCACAAATTCTCATAGTTTAACAGTTGCTAAGGTCGTAAACAACATAAAATAAGGAGAAAGCATCATTGTTGGTCAATCCCAAAATTCCCTTCAATATTAGTTTTCATCAATTTATTTTGAGATTTAAAAAAGTTGTTGACCAAATAGGTATGGTCCATGTTTAGAAAATTAGTTAATAAATGTTTGTAGGGTCAATAATGGGATCTAGAGAGGTGAAGATGGATTTGAGATAGATAGGTTTAAAGTTTAAACAAAATTTTTCAAGACAAAAAAAAATAAAGAAAATTAAGAAAAACATAAATATTTGACATTTTGTAAAATAGTCTAGATAGAGGGCATGCAAGGGGCGACTAAGTTTGGTAGTATTTTCTCATTAGGGAAAAAAAAAACACTTTGTTAACAATAAAGAGAAGAGAGGAGGAATGAAAGGTCATTACAGAATGTTGGTCCCAAATAATTTTTGGCATTACTTTTATTTATTTATTTATTGCATAAAGAGGCTGCTCTTAGACTCGAAGCTGCATTTTCATGGTTGCTAGCCTAAGATTTTACTACTAAACCAAGCAATGGCCACTAGAAGAGATTAGAAATAAAATGATAAAAAGATTAAAAAAAAATTACAACCTAAAAAAGAGGAAAAAAAAAGAGACTAATGCCAACATGAACAAATCAGCCATTACATTATATCATAATGTCATAATGCTTGTTTATGGTTTTCATTTGACCATGCTAGTCATGTTTGATTTCATACATGAGTGTTCTATCCATATGCAAATATATAATTTAGATTCTCATATTTCATTTGATTCTTGTTTAATTTGCCACAGATGTGCATAGGGTAGGAGAGATGTGCAGTAATCATATCCAATAGCCATTTTGGAACAGATTTACCGAACTGTTGTGCAGGAGAGATGATGTGCAATAATCATATCCAACCAGAGCCTTGTTGTTCAGTTAGATTCTAACTGTTGAATGCAGAGGTTGTTTTAACGTTTGTGAGGATGATGTGAATGCTACTATCCCAAACTCGAAAAATGTTGTTCAATCAGATTCTAACCAACAGTTTCAACTATAGACAACAACAAGATAATGGTAAAAATTTGCAAAAGTAGATCTTTTATCAAGATGTGCCTTATCTGGACGTCATAAATTTTGAGTGGTTCTCATCTAAAAAAAAATTTGAGCAGTTCACATATACTAGAAAATGTTCTTTCCCCTTCTAGAAAAGCTAATGGTGAAAGGGTAAAATTGGCAAAAGGTGAAAAAAATAACAACTTACCAAGGAAAATGGTTGTTGAAAAAGAACATGGGAAAATAAGTAATGTTATTTACCTGAATAAATTAAACAAAAAAAAAATGGATAAGCGCACTTACCCAACACTTCACACTTTCCAGGTAAGTGCATTTCCCCAAGTAAATATGTTTCCGAAAAAAAAACATGGCCTAAAAGGAAATAGTCCCCGTTCATGAGTCATGGCCAAAGTAATCAACCTAACATCCAATTCAAGTGATGGTCCATCAATTTTTGGCTCTTGGGCCAATCGTGTCTCCCTTGATATGGTAATAAACAATATCAGAAAGTAGTATCAAATGGGTAAACTATAAGATACTAAATATGTTAGGACATTCTGAATACTAAACGGATTTCATGGTGCTGATAAATCTATAAATGAGACTGTAAATGTATTTCCCAATAAAGAAGTCGTTTCTGCTTGCATTGAGAAGGTTTCATTACAGAGCTTCTGTAACATTGGATCCATCATTGTATGTTATGGTTCACAATCTTCCTAGCGTAGTAAGTAGCGGATGGCAGCAACTGCATCCCCTTTGTGCTCTCGGAGTGTTCTCTCAGCCACTTTTTTGTCCAACTGTTTCCATATAATAGAACAAATAAGAACTTTGAACAAGACCACCATTGTTACAAGGGCACGTTTACAAGTTAAACACAGGAGACGAGGAATCCAACCTCTAGTTCACTTGCAATGATGTCAACATCTGCAGCGTTGATCTTAACAGCAGCCAATTCTTTCTCCCTGTGTGGTGTCAGTAGACATTTCAAGTACCAGAAATTTGAAGTAAACATAAATGGATACAAAGTCCCAAAAAGAATTTTCATACGTTTTCACTGTTGAAATGTTTACTTGATGAAATAGGTTCTGCAGTCAGGAAAAGATCCCATTTCATCACTATCTCAATTATCAAACCATAAAAAATAAATAAAACCTCTTAAAAATGCAGATTTTTCTCTAGATTACGATGTATGACACATTGATAAAGGGGAAATCTCTTAAACTATCCCTAGTTTTAGGAAATGGACTTATACACCCCTACTGTTTGCGAAATCCCTTAACACCATCACATTCCCTTAATGCCATCAAAATAGGGGTAGAATTAAGATCAATTATCAGAAGGATTAGGGTTAAGGGATTTTGCAAACAGTAGGGGTGTATAAGTCCATTTCCTAAAACTTAGGGGTAGTATAAGAGATTTCCCCAAAAATAAAAACCAAGGATATACATCACCACTACATTAGAAAACCAATCTTCAATTTAAGAGGTACCAAAGTGGCTGACACAACGCCTTGTACATGCTATAAGTTGTTTAATAAAGGCTTATCTAAGACAAAAATTAATAGTAAAATAAAATTCATTAGAAGAGAAAAGGAGATACAAAAAAAGGTGATAAGAAATCGCCTGAAAAGAGAGAGAGAGAGAGAGAGAGACAGAGAGACAGAGAAAGAAACAGAGCAATAACAGCAACATAACCTTCAATCAAAACAAAATCTTATTACTCCTGAAAACAAGAATACTCCATGCCAATATAATAAAAACTCATTTTCTCCCAAATCGGCATCAAACATTGCTACAACTTCAGCTCCATATTTTTGCTATCAGAAAAAATCACAAACTCAACCCAGAAAGAGAAAGCCCTATCCAACTCACATATAAATAAGAACCCACTATTGTCATAAACTGTTCTCCCTTCTAGTACCAATCAAGCTTTATCCATGGACTCTATTTTGGCACCTTGATCAGAATCCTTCACTAAGCTCCTCTTATGAGCCTTTTTCACCTTCTCAGAGGGGCTGACCCCAAATAAACCCCCTTCAGATAAGCAAAGGCTTTCAAAACTTGGATAGCTCTTTGACTTTTCTGTCATTAAAAGTGAGCACATTAGACAATACCTAGGTAGGTGCCTATTCACCTAGGCAACAAGGCACTCCACTGTCATCCAGCCTTAGCACCTTGACAACCATGGACCGTTATACCAAGTTAAGTTTTGATATGACATCCAAGGTTCAGCAACACTCTAAACATAGACTTTTAAAGTATTCATGAATTTAGAGAAAGGTGCAACCATTTAAGTATTCATGTTTTGGTTCAAAACCCAAGCCTTCTTTTTTCAAACTTCTTGGATCAAAAAGTATTACCTAATATACAACATCTGGACAGATTTAAAATGCAATCATTGAATCCCAAATGCATATCCAAAATTGCATATCAATTAAGAAAGGAGTTTATCACAGATTCTTTTTGCCTTTAAATAGTGTATTAACATTACATATCCAACCCTGTCAATGATAATATAGAGATATTCTACCAACTGAGCTAGTTAGTTTTCACATTTGCTTACATAAAAAATATGTCCATAAGACCACAAGTCATATACCATCTCTGCTATCTGTTCCATTACATTTCATTTATACCATCTCTACATTAGCATTACCTCTTTCTACAATTTCTAGTCAGAACAACATGGCCAACCAATTGGCTGAAGTAATGGGCAGCAGCATTAGGAAGCTCCCCACCACACACCTAGGCTTGCGGCTTGCCTCTTGGTGCAAAATGCAATTCAATGAAGATATGAGATACTGTCTTTGAGAGATTTGATAGAAACCTGGCTATGTGGAAAACAAAAGAACTATCAAAATGGTTCACATGATAATAAGTGTCTTATCATCCCTCCCAATTTATTATTTATTTATTTTTTATCAATCCCAATTTATTATTTATCTTTACTTCAAATTCCTTCTCAGAGGCAAAGCAACTAGAAAAGAAGACGAGAACCTTCCTATGGGCTGGTTGGAAAGATAGCTTTAAATTTCACTTGATAAATTGGAAAAGTTTTCCAGCCAAGAAAATATGGTGGATTGGATATCTGAAATCTCAGGAAAATAAACAAATCCCTTCTTGGAAAATGGTGTTGGGGGTTCAACAGGGAAGGAGAAAGCCTGTGGAGAAAGGTAATTACAGGAAAATATGGACTTACAAGCCGAGCATGGGACCCTTGTCCAGCCTTGACTCCTATGGGTTGTGCAGTTTGGAATGGCATCCAAAAAATTCTGCCTGATTTTCAAAATGAAATCAAGTATCAGGTTGGAAAAAGCAATATGAACTGAGAGATGGTGTAGGGGCTTCACACCACAAGAAAGATTCCCTTCACTTTATGAATTAGAATGCTGTGATAGAGGACTTTATGAACAGGTGAATAATGAGATGATTTGGAGCCCTACTTTAGACAAAAAAGGGGGGGAATTCCCGATTAGTACCCTGTACTTTGGGTCTAGTGTCATTTTGGTCCCTGAACTTTAAAACGCGACAATTCAATACTCAAACTTTTTTTTTGATGAATAATAGTAAGTTTATTGATTCAGAAGCAAATTAGAGTGAGTTCATACATCATCCCAGTGAGAGGTGCGAGCTGCAGCCCCT